AAAGATGTTTATATGGTTCCTCATCATCTAAGTCATAGAAAAGTGGACACATTTGAATGGTTTCGGGCTTAATTTCATACTGATCGGCCCCAAAATTAGAAAGTATGATGCAAGTTGGCGCATGATATTCATGAAGATTGTAATGATCACGAAGAATCATTGGAGGAATTGGAACTCGAACTCCGTGGGGATGTTGGTTAAATGTGGGTCTAAATAGCCAAGATTACCCTCTAGATTTTCCATTAGAATGCCTAAGATGAAGGGTAAGGAAAGAACCACGCAAAACCTCAAGTAACACACCAACAAAACAATAGAATCAAGCACTTCGCCCCCGCAACAAATCAATAATCAACACTCCTCCACATACATTGATCCCATACTCCCATGCTTTGAACAATATGCAAAAAAAAAATCAAATTGCCTCCACGTCGGCTCACGATCTGTCTAAGAAAGTAAAAACATGCCTCCACGCGGGCCGACAATTTAACTAGAGATTGAGTTTAGAAAGGCTCACAAAGGGTCCTTAAGCAACTTCAATTTAGTTTCAAGTTTCGCTATACTTTGCAAATTTTTAGATTTTAGCTTTTTTATGCTTAGCTTAGCTCCTTGCTTTTCAATTCTCCCTTACTTGACTTCCTTTGCTCAATTCACCTTGCCAATCAAGAATAAACACAATAAGTAATCAAAATAAAATAAAGTAAAAAATAAAAAATAAAAAAAAGATCAAAAGAGTACTAATTCCAAATTATTCCCAAAAATACGGCGTTGCCAAATCCCCGGCAACGGCGCCAAAACTTGGTGTGGCTCTATCGCGGTAAACACCCCAAATTGCAATGAAAGTGTGACCAAGTTTGAATTTATAAAATGCCATTACTACCTCTAACTACTAATATAGCTAGGGTGAGTAAGGATCGTCCCAAGGGATTAGTTGCGTATTTGAAATGGAAACAAGGTTGGATTAGTAGGTTGAGTGATCAAAAGATGGTTTGATTGGTTAATTAAACTACTATGTAAACAAATTCAATGCAAAGCAACTAAGGTAAATAAAGGGTAGAGAATAAGAGAGATGGATCTTGGGATTTAGAGGTCACCACTAAGCATCACCTTTCTAGATGCTCAATGTGTAACGAATGAGGGGAAATATGTGTTGCAATACAAAGAGGTGTGATTAATTGAATCAACAAGCATGGATGACTAATTAAGTATATATTGTCTAGACAACCTAGTGAATAGCACAATATATCAAACTAAGCCATTATTCCTTCCTTTAAGCTCACAATCAACACATTAACAAGTTAGAGAATTATACTACTTACATTCATAAGCATGGAACATCAAACAACAAGCATGGATTGTCTTCACATCTAAGAAAGTAAAGCAACTACACTACATCTAAGCTAAGGACATGAAAATTAAACTAATTAAACTAAGGTAGAGGCACAATCCATCAAGAAATGAGTATGAACCATCAAATAAACCACAAGAGTATTCTATTTAAGCATTATGCCTTGACAATCTCTAGATTCATAGCATCAACACACATAGACATGCATTAACAACACAAAACCTAGAGATAAACACATGAACATCTATTCTAGCATACATAGATATATGAGTAAAATGAAATGATCAATTGGAAGTATTAAACAACACAAATCATTGTAGAAACAAGATTCATATATAAAACAAATGTCAAGACTAGATTACAACACAAATCCCCTCAAAATACAAAATATCATGATCTAGAAGGCATGCTTAGGGCTAACTCTAGCCCCCAGAAGATGTTTAACCACTCATTGATGTAGTCATCCAACCCTCAAGGGCCATCTCCATGGTAGGATTGATATTCTTCTTGATGGAAACCCTAGATGAATGGAAGAACTCCCAAATGGTGTATATTTCTCTACTCTCTAGCCTCCTCTCCAAGATTGTAAAAATATCTATCTATTCATTCCATTGTGTAAAATGGCTCAAAATCCTTATATGGGTAGCTCAAGTGTCACACCCAATGGTCAGGTCTCGTGCACTAGGGCCCCTTCAATGATTGTACCACGAGCCATCTTTTAATGAGCTGGACTCTGTTTTATTTCGGACTTGAGGAAGTCCGATCGATCGAATTCTGATGAAATCAATCGAACTCTGGCCAGATCAATCGAAGTGTGACCAGATCGATCAATCCTTGGCGGCGCCTTTTTGGAATATGACAAATCTGAGATATTTTGGGAAAAAGACAAAAGTGGTAGGTGGGGATAAGATCAAAGAAGTTCGATCGATCTGAAGTAAAGTTGGATCGATCGAAGATGAAAATTCTTGAGGATAAGGACAAGGGGTTTGATTCATCTTGGTGAGGCTGGATTGATCACTGTGAGATCGATCTGCGATACGTCTAATCGATTGAAACTTGCTATTTTCCACCATTTTGCTTTCACTTTGCTCTTTTCTTCCATTTAGCTTGAGATTACTTCTTGTATGCTTTAATTTAGCTGAATTGACTTATTTTGAGGATTAGCACCTGAAAAGGGCAATAACATGAAATTAGTCTAAGCCGGGAAAATAAGATAGAAAAAGGTTCTAAAATACTCAAACTTAAGGGGTTTAAATGCACACTTTTCAGCGCTCATTAGTTATGATATTGGGGCTCGCTCTATCCTTTTCGTCAGTTGAATAATAATATCTCTATATCCTCAAGTTGGAGAGGAATGGCAGCGGGTCAACCTTAGGGTTACTTTTTCCCCCATTAATAATTTTTTAGGTTAAAGAGTTCTTTTGACAAAGTCAAATGGTATTTACGGCATTTTACATGGTGTTAGAACTGAAGATTGAGGTGTGAGTGAAAGACAAAACAAATGTTTGCAATATGAGTGATAGTAATTTTCGAAAGGTGTGATACCCCCCAATTTCGGAATACGGATTGATCAAATCCGCGTACAAAATTAAGGGATATCTAAACAATTAAAGTTTTTCAAACAAGTACAGATTACAAAAAGAAATAAAAAGAATAAATAACTCGTTGAAGAAAAATCTATTAAATAATAATTTCATTTAATACTTCTCCAAAATTACAACTTGGGAATCCCGTAATTTAAGGACCCCCTTAAAAAAATTATCCAATAAATAACAATATTACTTAAAAGTAAACAAGATGAGTAGATGAATGACAGTCTCCCAGCTGCGGATCCTCAACCTCGAGACTGGAACTTCTAATAACCAGAAAAATAAATCATGGGTTAGACCCATGAGCAAACTTTCTCTACCAGGCCTCTGAAAACTAATAAACAAATCATTTCTAACCAAAACCAATACTATTAAAGTTTTATCTTTAATATACAATGATTAACATATGTATAAATAATTATATATACTACACTAATCACACTCATTAATAGATTCATTAAATATCCAAACCCATTAAATAATGATTAAATCAATAATCATTCCTAAACCAATTCACAATATATTTTCTTTTAAAGAGAACATCCTTTAACTTTAATCTCATCCTAGACAATTATTTAATCATTTAAACAATAGAATATAATTAAATAAATATTATATTTAGTCCAAAACCCAATACTGATTTAATTATTTAAATTGTATAGCCAATATCTAGGCTTTGACAAATCATCCAAGTCTCCATCAATATTATTTTATTAATATATATAAAATAATACATTAACATATAATTACTGGATTATTTTAATTTAAGACTATTTAATCCTAATCCAACCTATACATACAATAACCATAGATAAAATTTTAATCATCTAACACATAACAATTTAATTATGCTTTGGAAAATCAACCATGCCATTATAAATATATTTATTTATATATTGGCAACTCAACCATATCTCCTTAAGTGTATATCTATACTTTTAAATTAGCAACTCATCAATGCTTCCTATGTATGTATTTTATCCATACAAATAATAAGGCAATATATTTAAGCCCTTGACAATTCATCTATGCCTACAATTCAACCATGTACTAAATCTTAGAATTAATAAAATAATAAAACAACTCATACCTAGGCATTCCATGCATATCATATGCATCTAATTAATTTAAACAACCGGCCTAATACGATAATATCAATCATACTGCCTATCAACCATGATATACCAAATAAGATATATAATATTAATTATCTTAAATGATATGCATATATAAACATATATTATACAATATAAATATATATACAACACCTTCCATAATAATACCTAATTATTTAAAATCATATATATACATATGTATGTATATATATATATACCTCCTTTTATACTAATCACATATTAATAAATTCATAAATATACATATATAAAATAAATAAATAAATATATATATATATATACACACACACACACACTTCCTTCCATAACCAATTTATTAATTAATTATAATTACGCCAATTAAATGCAAGTAAATATTCTAGTAGCATCCTACAGCCCTCAAACACCTAAAATGTATCCTCTAATGATTAATTTCAACGTTAACAAGCTTGAAATCAATTTTGGAATATCACCGGACCCCACAGAAACTTTTCGGGACCCCAAACAGTGTCTTACGTGCCCCCACGCGCCGTCACACTCTCCAACACACATTGCACGCGCCCCTACGCACTCATACAAACTGGAAGGCACGTCCACGCGCCTGCACGCGCCCATTTATTGGCTATACCCATGCGTTACTGTGAGCGCGGTCACACCTGATCACTGGCTGTTCCATGCGCCACTACCGTGTGTACGCCCACACCAGATTCGCTCCCTTCTCATCAAGCCGTATCTGCCGTCATAAGCCGCGCACACCCAAGCTCCTATACAGCGCGCTACACCTGATCAATCCACTTACCATATAATATTCCAATGGCCTAGATTAGCAGTGTACCATCTCTCCATGCGCTATCCCATACTGGATTACAACCCTAATGTTGTGCCGTTAATTTTTTTTTTTTTTTTTCATGGCAAAACAACCACAGCACAAGGAACCGAAAATAACTAAAACAACTAAGACCCAACATCCGCCACCGCGTAAGGGACAACGGAAGGAGGAAGAGAAGACAACAGCTGATCTGACGCAAGCCTAGGCCGCGAAAGAGCTGCCAAAGCATGAGCCATCTGATTACCCTAGCGAAACACATGAGTCAACTTAGCAGAGGAAAATCGACTCAAGTCCCGATTAATGTCAAAACATATAGAAGTAATTTTCGACGGACAAGTCACTCCACATAACACCCCATCCACAACAACTTTGGCATCTGATTCAAACCATAAGTAAGAAAAATCCAAATCAAAAGCACAAAGGATCTCACATTGACACACCAACGCCTCCACCTCCAAAGATGAAGCAGCAGAAAAGGGACAAAAAATAACCGCGTGAAACACTTCACCCCAAAAATTGCAAAAAATAGCGGCACCACCCCCTTGCAAAGACTGCTGACAAAAAGAAGCATCAAAATTACACTTAACAATTTCAGAGGGAGGAGGACTCCACGAATCCACCAACGCACTAGCCGTCCCTGGCTGCACTGAGGAACAGAGGGATCGAGCATCATGAAACTCCCAAAAGCTGACGACCGCCTTCTGCACCACAACCTCAGACCGCCATAAAATCCCCTCAAAGACTAACCGATTCCTGGCCTTCCAAATACCCCAAACACAAAAGGAAATCAGACTAAGAACATCCGCAAAGTCCGAGGAGAGCATCGCCTGATGCACCATAAAACTCTATCCAACTCGAAAATAAGAAAAAAGAAGAATCGCGCCACAATTAACATTTTCAATCAAACATCTTACCCAATGTTAACATGCTGAAAACTTTGATTAGAGTTTATCACCAGAACTCTCAGCCTCACAACCTTTTGCCTATGTGTGGATGCCATAAAAAAAAGGATGTAAAGTGAGAGAGGAAACGTGAGATAGGGAAGATGAGGGCAATTATAGTAATAAGAAAAATATAAGAACAAGTCAGTGTGGTTGGGGATTTTTTTTTGTAGTTTTATTACATGAGAAAAAAAAAATGGAGTGTTGAGTTACAAGTGCATTTTGGGAATGCCAATATCTGCTCCTTGTGTTTTTTTATAACAAATATACAATGCATTCCTTCCTGGATTACTTTGTCTAAAGTCATTTATAAAGTAAACAGTTTTATTATGGGTTAAGTGCAAAAAAGTCCCTCATAATATATAAAATGTGCAATTACCCCTCTAAAAAACCCCAAGTTTTTTCAATTTTTACAAATAAGAAAAATCATAATTTTTGCAATAAAATTACTAAAGTAACCTTACTTTATCATTAACAAAAAACGAAAAAAAAAGTAAAAGACAAAATGTCAAAATTAACCTTAGTCATATTTTCCTTCTCCGCCTGCCATGACATAACAAAATTCTATATAATTATATATATATATATGTATACTCCATCTCTCTCTTCGATATATCTCTCTTCAATCTTAATTTTCATGTCTAATAATCCTTCTTGTAAATGTACACTTTATTCACGCACCCACCAGCCTTATCTTTGATTCCATAGCCGTAAATAAACTCAACTATTTATAAAAGATTGAGACAACAGTGCTTAACTAAGGAATGGCATGTTGTATTCATGCACAAGTAAAAATTTGAAGAAGGAATATGTAAGTGTAAAAATTTGCATAAAAACTAAACAAGTCCATACAAATGAAAATACTCATAGAATTGCTCCAATTTCCTAATATTGCTTTGACATGGCTTCATCTGAATATAAGAAGTAATTTTCTATCTAACTTTTCATTTATTTTTTATATATCCCATTTTTTTTTTAATGATTTCTACCAATTTATACTGAAAATTTGTAATTGGTCTTAATTTTTCTCTCTGGCTCTATGTTGATACTATAAAATTTCTTGGGACTTGCTGATTTCGGGTATTCTCTCTTGTTCAAGAGAGAGATAACACAAAGAAATTTTAGAAAGAGAAAAAAAATTTAGAGAGAAATATTATATTTTCTTATAGAAGGAGAGTTCTAAGAATGGAAGGAAAATATCAAAATATATAGAAGTTGTAGAATTAGAAAAGAATTTTTGCAAGAAAGTTCATGTTTATATATATATATATTGAAATAAATAATATTTTAAAAAATAAAAATAAAGTACAGATGCATCTTACTTGACAAACCAAATAAAATATAGTATCATAAAAAAATAAAAAGTATGTCTTCTTGGAAACAAATTGCTAAACAATATAGAGATATTTTAGAGAAAAAAATAATATTAGAGAGAAATATTTTCTTGGATAGGCCTTCAAGTACATCCAAACAAACACATTTACTGTTCAAATATAAACAAAATTGGTAGGGACATTCTTGCTAAACAAAAAAGGTATTTTTGGATTTTTAGAAAAAAATGACATTACCAACTGCTATTTTTCATCATTTATTTAATAGGGGGTAATTTGCTCAAAAGATGAATAATACGGGGAGTTATATGCATTTTTTTTAATAAGGGTGTTTTTCCAAATTTTTTACATAGTGAGTGATTTTTTTGTAATTAACCCTTTTATTATTTTGTCTTATTTCAAGTGGGTTTTTTAAGAATAATAATGTCTTTAAATACATTACAAAAACCGATTAAACATTATTAAATTTTAGTTGGTCGCATTAACAAAAATTGTTGTTGACATGAATTGAATTTTGCTATAAAAAAAAAAAGAAAATCATTGTTTCAATGTTCTCTCTCTCAAAATAGAACGATTGCACTTTTAACTTTTAAGTAGATAATTATTTTAAAACAGAAGATATAATATTTACGTATATCTCAAAAGTGGACAAATATTTTAAAACATAGGGAAATATATTTTACATAAGCAAAAATAAGTGTCGCTAATTCTAATTAAATTTCAACTTTGCAGTACAATAATTTGACTTCAATTCAGGGTACGCCAGCCTTTTCACTTTGAACCAAAAATAGAAGTCGTCATTGTACGGAGTAAAAAACAAAAAACAAAAAAAAAAAAACTTACTTCAAAATTAAAGTAATTTCAATAAAGAATATAGACCCGTACGGTTAAAAAAGGTCGAGATAGAGAAAAAGAAAAAGAAAAAGAAAAAGTAGAAGTTACTGTACTTGAAAATAGAAGTGATTGAAAAAGGAAACCCAGAGTCCCAGACCAATAGATAGTAAAGTAGACCTTGGGTTGACGTCTGACTATACGAGTGATTAAAATAGAAACACTGGGTTATAGTCCGGATCGAAATAGGAACCGCTTTTATATATCTATACATATTTGCCTATTTTACTCTACTGTTAGACACCCTGTGATCAATCTAAGGTGAACCCAGAACGAACTCGTCACAGATTTCTCAATCGTTATCGCACTTGCACAGATTCTTCTATTCTTGGATTTACCCTTTCGTAAGTTTCGCACTCTACTCAGCCTTTTTGCATTGTAGATCAATTTAGTTATTTATTTATTTATGTTTCTTTTTTTATTTTGTCATTCTGGAAAAATAAAATAAAATTAAGTGCGTATTGTGCTCCGCAAACAAATTATGGGTTGTTTAGCTCTGAATCATAATCTTGAAAAATCAGGGTTTTTAACCCTTTTATTTTTTCTGTGGGATTTTTACTTCACTGAGTGAAGACTTTTGTTGAAAGTTCACTTAGCAGTACAATCCCATTAAAGATTTAAGTGGTTTCTATTGATTAGTCATTGAAGTCAAACAATTACAAAAATATGTCGTATTGACAATGATAATAATTTCTAAATTCTCTTATGGTCCGTTTGGGAGAACGGAATCGGGGTTTTGGGTTTAGAATTGGAGGAAATTTGGTTTAATCCAAGGCGCGATTCCAAACATGCCATTATTTTAGTTGAATATCCGAGAATGGTTTGGTTTTAATACACCCATTACCTGTTTTAAGTATATTGAAGAAGGGTTTTGATTTATGAAGTGGTATAGAACCTGTAGACAGAAAGTAGTTGATTATCAATTGGCATGTTTTGTTTCATCAAATTGCACAACAAAGATATTTTATTATTAAACTTTTTTGGTTCTTTTGTGATTTTGGTCGAATTTAGTCTCCGACTTTTGTTTTCATGGGATTAATATTAGTGAGTAAAACACACAAGTCTTCCTTCACCCAGATTCACACTCTTTTAAGAATTAGATGGATAAGTAATATAATACAAAATAGGTTATATGTATATTCCTGTTTTGTTTCAAGGAGAGTGTGCTACCAATTAGTGTCATAGTAATTGCATATCAACAGCTTAGAGGTTGGACAAAACATTATACATTACAATGAAATTATAAATTGGAACACATTGGGTCACTTTGCGCCGAGTTTGCACTAATACAAGCATTTATATATCTGACTAATGTTTGAAAGAAAACATCATCTTGCATATCCATGAAACAGAGTTTTACCATTAAAACTAAAGGCTTCCACTTTCTTGAATATAGATGAGTTTAGGCATCAAACTACATGTCTTCTTCCTTCATTGCCTTGCAACATAGATGTGGTCATATATTTTTTTCTCGTTTATCTCCCAGTGGATAAAAGCCGTATTATTAGGGTGATTATATGTGCCTTTGTTATCAATCTTTACGTCTTGATATTAGCTCTAATCGAGTTAGTACTTGTAAGTGTTTTGCATATAAGTGATATACTTATCAATATAGATATAAGTCCTATAACCTTATTATATGCAATACTAATTATACTACCATTGGTTCATCATTCTACTGCCTTTGTCTTCATAAAAGTCATGTGGCTGGCAAAGCCCTTTATTTAATACTTCAATTTACTCTAATTTATGGACATCTACATGTGCCTTTTTTGGAATTCAAGTATTACACATCAGCTCTTGATGGAAATCTCTTATGGATAGTAATAAAATTTCTTTTAAGTGATGATGGTTGAGAATATATAAATGCCACATCTTAATTATTCCTTAAACGTGAAGGATTGCTTTTTGTTTGTCTGTACCAACAAGATAGTGCAGCCTGTAACCGTGAAGGCTGTTCTCCATGCGTGTCTTTGTTCTTTTTCATAAATATTCATATATATATATATAAATATATATATATATATATATATATATATATATATATATATATATTATGTAAAGCAATACCTTGAAATTGGACTTCATTGAAATCATAAAACATAGTAACATTCTTAATTGAATTCTACTTTGAGGTGGCTACAATTGTTGTTCTCACAGCAATTATTTCTTTCTCAGCCTTTGCCAGATAAAGGTTGGATGAGTGCATGAACTTTCAAGATAGCATAATGGGTCGGCGGCAAAAAGCTGCAAAATTGATGGTAAGAAGCAATTCTTATTGGTTCTTTTGAAGAATAATTGATATTACATTTTTTCTTAAACGTACAATGTTGACGGCTTCCTCTTGCAAAAATATTCTGCTTACCCGCTTTTTTTTTTTTTTAATTTTAAATTGGCAGAGAGGGAAGGATCTACTTACTGAACTACCAGATGAGATTCTTTCCACAATCATTTCAATGCTGACGTTGAAAGAGGCTGTAAGGACTAGTGTGTTGTCAAAAAAGTGGAAATCCATTTGGACTTGTCACTCTGACTTGTGCTTTGATTCAATCACCCTACTCGGGGACAAGGTTCACTTCAATAACATAGCTAACTGTAAAGTGGAATCGAATAGACAACCACACAGGTGCAAGTTTGTAGAACAGGTAGATCAGATTATGCATCAACGGTGCAAGAGCAGAAAGATAGATTCTTTTACTATTCAATTTCATTTGGGCAAGGAATCTGCTTCTCACATCAATCAGTGGATTGATTGCGCAATTAAGGAAGGGGTTGAAAATATGGATGTTAATTTATCTGAGTGCTGTAGCTTTAAAGTGGATCCCGACTATTCTTCTACATATGAAGGATATAAATTCCCTTTCTGGCTTCTTGCTGCCCCAGGCAAAAAATCCACTATAAAGCATCTTCGGTTGGTGTCATGCAATCTCAGTGCTCCTCCAAGTTCCAAATGTCTCTCCTCCCTGATCACCCTTGGACTGCAAAATGTAACTATCAGTGATCAACAACTTGAGAATATCTTATCTAGTTGTTTGTTTCTTGAAGGGCTAAGTTTGCATCAGTGCAGAAGATTAGTCAATGTGGGATTTGTTGGCCCGAACCACTTTCTGAAATTTCTTAGTATAAAAAACTGTATCAGATTGAAGAATATCGAAATTTATGCCAAGAATCTTGTCACTTTTGAATACACCGGTCACTTAATTAGCTTCTCCTTCAAAAATGTCCCAAGGCTGGCTGAAGCTTTTTTGAGTTTCACTGGAGAGAGCAGGCAGGATGGTGTAAGTTATTCGCTCACAAGATTTGCCAGCGACCTACCTCAATTGGAGACTCTAAATTTACACTCTGTACTGGCTATGAAAGTAAGTGTAATCAGAATTGGAATAGATTCTCTCTAAATGTTTTGGCTTAAAGTTAAAGAACAATAATATTCAAATGTCGATGGGATTGGGACTTGAGTAGTCATGTTTATTGCATACCATCTAGAACATATTCAGGTTCATTGTTTTGAATTGAACGGTTCATAGTTCCAATTTATTGTGAGGTTGGTCCTCACTCCATTCCATAGAATTAGCAAACCTGACCTTGTTATATGTGAACAAATTTTTTTTTTTTTTTTTTTATCCTTTCCTGAATGTTGTATATTATAACATTCAAAAGGATTAACAAATAATTATATTCATTTGTGACCTTTTTAAAGTAGTCCTTTTCTTTTTCTGTTTCCTTTTTGGGGGGTGGTGTAAAAATATACTAAAGTTCATACTCTTTCTGTTTCAGACACTACCTCTGCCAGAAGATGTACCTACTACATTCACCAATATCAAGCAGTTGGTGTTGAGTGTTTATCCATTCGATGACGAAGACAAACTTTGTTGGATTAGTTACATCCTGAAGGCCTTCCCTTTGTTACAAAAGCTACAATTAAATGTGAGTATACATTTATCTTTTTACAGAAAGGAACTGGAACTAATTTTTCATTTCAATGTGTTTTCTGCCGAATGTTGCATGTTTTGTTTTTCATTACAATAGTTCAAAAATATCCCAGATAACGAATTTTTATTTTTATTTTTTGAAGATATAGAGTGAGTTGGGATAGCTAGTTTGTAGAATATATTCTTAAAAAGTAGAAATACAAGAGGAGGATTAAGAAAAAAATAATCTTTATATGCTAACCACATATAGCAGCATGAAATACCTTGTTCCAAAAAATGTTGCACTAGGAATGTGGCAAAATGAAATTTCTTGATTCCCATTTATTAGCCTTCTGTTGTCATCGATGCCCTGTTTGTTAATTGTTATTGTGTGACTAGTATATACTTGATTTTCCATGTGGAAACCTTTTAATTTGACCTAGCACTATTTTAATGTTCTTTACAGTTGTTTTGCCCAAACTTCATCAAACAACCGAAAGAGATAGAAAGGGTCCTTCCTGAGTGCAAGCATAAGCATGTCACTGAAGTCGAGATAAATGGGTTTTACGGCAACCAGCATGAAGCTGAACTGTTGAAGTATCTGGTTGACAACCTAGTTGAACTCAAAGACCTAGTGGTTAGTCTGCGCCAGAAGGTATACAACGGATTCAACAACTGGGTTTATGAAGAAGCAAGCTCATGGTACAAATCGAGAATGGAGAGCGTGGGTACATGGCTTGATGAAGTAGTTCCCCAGTCTGTCCATCTCATAATTGGGTGACATTGTTCTCTTAGTAAGCAGATGCTGGGAATTTAAAAATGAGTATGCTTTTGAAGACTGGCTAGTAATGTTTTTGCTACTGAGAAGAACAGAACATTTTTGTTTGTATCATATGTATTAGAATGTATTTCTTAGTTTTCCTTGTTTATTGTGTATTCCACTTTGATGTCATATTGTCTGATTCTTTATTCTTTTATTCTTTTATTTTTTATTTTTTAAAAAAATAAATAAAAGTGGTGTGAAATGAAGGCAGAAAGAGTGGGTATATGTTTTTGTGCATAGTTAAAAAGAAAAAAAGAGGAAGTTGTTGGTAGGCTTAAACATCATAATCTGAAGTAGTCCCTCCAACAACCAGTTGCTTGCATACAGCAAAAGAGGATTGCAGATCACTCCACTTGCATCAGCATATCCAAACAAATTAGTCAAGCCAACATTTCTGTTTCTTGAGGACGCAAGCTTCGTTTTGTTGGTCATGGCATCATGAGTCATGAGTGATTATGAATGGTTTAATTACACACACACACACACACACGGACTGGTATAAATTAGCAATAATTGAGGTGGTGATAGAGACAGTGGCATTGCCGTCACAGATTGGCCGGCTGACCCACCTGCAGTCACATGTTCTCCAAATGCTAGCTTTTTATTTCAGGAATCCAAGAATTGGGTCATTGTCTCCTACTTTATCACCACATGCACTTTTAACTGGGGATTATGAAAGTAAAGCGTTGGCCGAGTGTGGAGGGAAAAAACTCCCTCCAATAAGAATATTCCACGTCATCACAAATGTAAATCTATCTTTCAAAGACCCGTCAAGCTCAAGTCCAAATTGAGTGTATTTATAGCCCAAGATCATTGTTATTTATCTTCCAACCTCCATCAAGGCCGAATCAAGAGGTCATCAGCCCAACTTGTTAATATTTAACATCCGATCCGTTATTCAAGCCCAGCCGGATCAAAGTATGTTCAGCCCAGTTATTCAAGAATGCACAAGTCCTACCAGTTGAAGGATTTACCATAGAAGGAAAATTCTGAGATAGGAAGTTCTGTACAAGGCAAGTTCTGTGCATGGAAAATTAAATAATGGAAAGAATTCTAATTGTAAAGAAAGTCATACATGGAAAGAATTGGAGGACAAGCAATGCGAGTCCTACCATAATTCTACTACTTTTTATGTATAAATAGAGGCCAAGACCTCCAATAAAGGGATCAAGCAATTCTACGCTTCTCTATATACTGTTATTGTTTATTTTTATTGTTTGTTGAGTGAGTTGTTTGATTTTTCTTAATTATTATTGGTTGAGCGAAATTTTGCACCTACACTTTGGCGCCGTCTGTGGGAAACGTATAAAAATATACTCCCACTTGTTATTCAAATCAAATCTTTAGTCGTATCTGGAATGTCAAACGGAGAGTCAGCAATGAATCAACAAATAGAATTGATGCAGAAGATGCGAGAGGAGTTCTTGCACCAATTCGAGACAGTCCGGCAAGCAAACGATACGAGTGTCGCCCAGATAGTTGCGCTTCAGCAGCAAACTCATACGCTGCACATGACAATGGCCAGGCTAACGCCACAACCACCACCAGGCGATGCTGCAGCACCACCCCCCACCCAGAATTTACCTCCAGTTCACGAGCCTCCGACCAACGGGACACCACCCAACGGGGCTCGACCTAATGAGGTTCAGCAACAGCAAGGGACGAGGACCGAGGCGGTTGCTTTGGACAATCTCCCGCGTCGCACACAGGACGAACAGGCCGAGTCCAGCCATAGGCTTACGGTATGGTCCAATGGCGTTCCAGATGGCGCAGGCGTACAAGATGCCTTCGACGAAAAGAAGCTATTAAGAATTCAGACACCAGCTGAGATGGCTAGAGAGCACAAGAACTCCCTTGTCAAGACCCCCTTTACTGATGATGTGTACCTTGTGGAGAGACCAAGGAAGTTCACTATGTCATCCTTTACCCAGTTCGATGGGGCAGGAGACCCCTCTCGGCATCTCGATCATTATGCGCAAAAGATGGCACTGGACGATCATAACGATCCGTGGATGTGTAAGGTTTTTCCTACTAGTTTAACCGGAGCAGCGTTAGAATGGTTCAGGAATAGGCCACACAAGTCTATCCCTGATTATGAGACCTTGTGCACTATGTTCTTAGCCCAGTATTGCGGAAATAAGAAGTAGAAGAAAAGTATCGCCAGCCTTTTCACCATAAGGCAAAGGAAGGGAGAAAACTCTGCAAGATTTCTTATCCAGGTTTAACATGGAAGCCTCGGAGATAGCAGATTGCCACCCTGCCGCGGCAATCGAAACATTTAAGTTGGCAATGATCCAAGGAACCAAGTTTCACACATCCTTGATCAAATATTCCCCCCCGGATATGCAGACTTTGAACGCTAGGGCACAAATCTACATTCGGTTGGAGGAAAACGTAGCCCACCGTGCACAGCACGCTACCCTCGTCACAGTGGAAAACAAGTCTCGAGAGAAAGCTGCAAGCACAAGGATGCAGAAGGTTCCTCATGCCGCCACACAAGTCACCCAAGCGCCTGAGAAGAGGCAAAGGACAGAAGACAGGTTTACCCCTCTCCGTACTACCTTAGCGAGCCTGTTCCAAGAGAATAAGACGAGGTTCGCAACTCCTCAGCCCATGAAACAACCCTTGGAGCAGAGGGACAAAAGCAAACATTGTGCCTACCATAGAGACTATGGGCATACCACCAATGACTGCAGGTCCCTTCAGCGACAGGTAGAAAGCATGATAGCAAGAGGAGAGTTGGTGGAGTATCTTGCCACGAAGGAGTACGTAAAACCTCGGGAGGTTAACCCTCGACGGGTAGAGGGCGGTTAGGTAAAGGTTATCCATTCCATACACGGAAGGTCAGAGGATGATGAAGAGTCTGAAGAGTTGTACAGAACCAGGCTTAGAGAGGCTCATAAGTTACGAAGATTGTCTTCAGTAAACACGGTTGCGCCAGGCAGCATCAACATTGGATTCGGTAACAATGATCTGTCTAGAGTCCAGCGCCCGCATAAGGACCCCTTGGTCATCAGCCTCCTAGTGGCGAATTATATGATCAGGAGGGTGCTGATAGATCTGGGAAGTAGCGCCAACATCATTACAAAAGCAGCCTTCGATCAGCTGGGGATTTCATCATCGTCCATCAGGCCAACTTCCAGCCCCCTAATGGGGTTTGATGGTACTAAGGTGAATCCGCTTGGGGTGATCGATCTATCCGTTACTGCAGCAAAGAGGACTTTGAAGGAAAACTTCGTCGTGACAGAGATTCATTCATCTTATAACCTCATTATGGGGAGAGGTTGGATCCATCGTATGAACGGAGTCCCCTCTACTCTTCATCAAGTAATGAGGTGTTTATCCCCGGATGGCAGGGAGGTCATCGACCTCTGGGGAGACCAGGTTGCTGCAAAAGAATGTTACATGCTAACGCTACATGAAGCAAAGAAGGCGTCGAAATCACCCCAGTCAGAGGTAAGTCCCAAAGACGTAATCAAATAGCAGTTACAGTATCCTTTGCCCAAGTATCTCAAGGCAGTGGAAGAAGCCGAGGCTGAAGCACCGACCGAGGAGTCCCTCGAAGCTATAGAGGTAGTCCTCGGAGACCCTCAGAAGGTCACCTACATTGGCTCATCTTGCACAGCCGAAGAGAAGGAAGCATTGATCAGGGTCATTCGGTGCAATTCGGATGTCTTTGCCTGGGATCACTCGGACATGGTGGGGATCGATCCTACGGTCTCATGCCATAGTTTGAGGGTTAACCCAGAATTCAGGCCAGTCAAGCAGAGGCACCGACGGTTCGCACCTGAACGGAATCGCATAATAGCCGAGGAAGTAAATAAACTATTACAAGCATGATTTATTCGAGAGGTGCAATGTCCACAATGGCTCTCAAATGTAGTAGTCATTCAAAAGAAGAATGGGAAATGGAGGGTATGCGTAGATTATACCAACCTTAACAAAGCTTGCCCAAAAGATAGCTTCCCTCTGCCCAAGATTGATCAAATGGTGGATGCTACGACAGGTTATGAGAGGCTCACATTCCTCGATGCATACTCCGGCTATAATCAGATTCCCATAAATCCTGAAGATGAGGAGAAAACCGCCTTCATCACAAAGACAGGCACTTACTGCTACAGAGTGATGCCTTTCGGTCTAAAGAATGCCGGAGCCACCTACCAGCAACTTGTCAATAAAATTTTCAATAATCTACTGGGGAATACAGTTGAAGCCTATATCGATGACATGGTAGTCAAAAGTATACGGAAAGAGGATCACCCGAAGCACCTCCAGGAGGTCTTTGATACTCTCAAGAGGTACAATATGAAGCTGAACCCCACCAAGTGCTCCTTTGCCGTCTCTTCAGGACAGTTCCTCGGGCACATTGTAAATAAAAGAGGAATAGAAGTAAGCCCGGCTCAGGCAAAGGCACTCATACAGAACCAAGAGCCAAAAACCCACAGGGAAGTGCAAGTTCTAACCGGCCGAATTGCAGCCCTCAGCCGGTTCATATCCCGATTATCTGATAAGTATAAACTTTTCTTTGATGCTATTCGATCCAAAAACAAAGATATGTGGGGACCTCAGCAGCATGAAGCTCTCAATCAATTGAAAAGCTACATGACAAAACCCCCAATCCTTTCTGCTCCAACGCCCGAAGACGCTCTCATCCTGTACTTGGCAGTATCAGCTCTAGCAACAAGCGCAGTGTTGATCAAAAAAGGAGGCAAGGTTCAGCACCCAATCTTTTACACAAGCAAAACGATGACGGATGCCGAGACACGATACAGCAAGACAGAAAAGATAATCCTGGCGTTGATTTATGCCAAGAGGAAACTTCGACATTACTTCGAATCTCACAGCATAGTGGTACTTACAAATCATCCTATACGGGCTATCCTAGCTAAACCAGACTTGTCTGGTCGAATTACAAAATGGGTTATTGAACTTAGCTCTTTTGATATCACCTATGCACCAAAGGTATCTCACAAGGGGCAGTCAGTAGCGGATTTCCTACTGGAGTATGAAGATTAATCTGAGGAGCCGACACTTCAAGAGCCATACTGGGAGTTACGGGTTGATGGCTCTTCCAACCAGAAAAAGGGCAGGGGCCGGGATTGACATCACAACACCCGAGGGTACCAAGC